GTGTGTATGCCCAGAAGTGGGATTGCTGGGTCATATGGCAGTTCTATTTCCAGCTTTTTAAGAAATCTCCACACTGTTTCCCATAGTGGCTGTACTAATTTGCATTCCCACCAACAGTGTAAGAGGGTTCCCTTTTCTCCACACCCTCTCCAGCATTTATTGCTTGTAGAGTATAAAAGGTAAAAGCTTTTAAAAGCACATGTTTTCTTGGGCTTCCTTCTTCCTGCTGTAGCATTATTCCAGATGATGAAGTCTCTGTCAGCCTCCCAGAAGGAGAACACCTTTGGAGGAGCTGGTCCCCTGTAGACCTGTGCTGTGTAGGTAACATAGGCATGACTCACCTGCTAATTACTTAGGCTACTGAGATGCAGGTTCCTTATTGCACAGCCTAACTGAGCCCGTTAGACAAGGCAGTTGACCTCAAAGCTCACCTTTATATGCCTTCAGCACCTTGATTGTCTCTGGCTCAACAATTACCCCACTTTCTGTCTGTCTTCATGGCAAAGCTTGAGCTCCAGAATGACATGGCTTTGTACCAGTGCATCCTGCATGCTCTCCACAGTGTTGGCATAGACTCGCCTCTCAGGAAACACACAACGAATGCATGAATAAAAAGTGCCCACCCTATGTTGACTATATTAACATTCTGACACCATCCCTGGCACTCCTGGATTTTTGCCCTAGAATGGGGGATCTGGGAGTTTTGCAGTAGACTCTGGGGAACCCTAAGCCTACTCACAGTTGTGGCAGGTGGCCCCGACGTAGCCGGTGTTGCTGCAGTCACAGTGGAAGGTGGCCCAGGACTGGGAGCAGGTTCCTCCGTGCTCGCAGTAGTTCGGCAAGCACCTGGTGGGAGACGGAGCAAAACCAAATTAAATAGACCAAACCAGCGGAAATAAGGGGCAAGGGATGTCTGATACTCAACTGAATGAGTTAGTGGTGAGAGTCAGCCGGCTACACCACTATGCCTAAGTGAGACTTGAATATGTGAGCATAAGACAACAACTTCACCACAGAAGTAGCGTCCTTCACAGTGCCCGGTTCTACTGGCAAAAGGACAGCTCGGGGCTGATTTAGGCAATTAAATGAAGCATTTCAACACTGGGGCACATTTTCATTGACTTAAAGTTAATTTGAAATAGTCAGAATGTGTAAGGGTTTTCATTTGCCATAGAATAAAATGGACAAAGATTGTAATTCTGCATTTTGGAAAGGTTTTACATGTTTAAAGGTAAGGGGAAAGGGGCAGATAATTGAGGTCATAATCCTCCTGCTTCTCTTTTGGGTGACAGACAGAAACCTATTTTAAAATACTCATGAAATTTGAATAGATGCTACATGTTCAGTTAACATAGAAGGAAACTCTATAATTATTAAAAGAGCCAATAACACCCTTAAAATGAGGCCTTAACTACTTATATCGAAAACAGTATGATCATTTTGAAAAATATTTTCACCATACACTTTAGAAACTTTCTGAAGCACCCACGTAATTTGACCCAGCAATCACACTCAGATGGTTCTTTCTTAAGGATGTATTTAAAAATATAAAAACTATATGTACTACTTGTCATTATTCACAATGATATGATGAATCCCTGTACTTTTCCTACATGAGATTTCTTAGGAAAGTTGCCATAATTAATATTAACAGGCTATCAAAAAGTCACTACAAATGAAGTTAGCAGAAGGATTATAACAGACTGGGACTGAATTAAGTAGAAATTCAAGATATGAAGCACAGCCACAGTGAAATAAAGCAAACACTTTATATTGAAAAATAACTAGGAGGACGACTGTTAAGTGCCAGCTGGTTAACGGCAGTGAAGGCAACACGCGTTCCTTCCGGACAAAGCCCCAGCTCAGCCTTGTACACGGTGTCTGTGGGAACTTCTCCTCAAGTCTTACACACGTATTTTAAATTCTCTGCACCGCAGCCACTGTTGCTATTGAAAAATAACCAGGCAAGTTCTCAACATGCGTAACAAATAAAAGAAAAAGCCATGATAAATACTGAAATGTTTGAAAACAATCTTTATGGGAAGAGTAGTCTCACAAATTTCACCAGGGACAGGATACAAATGGTGAAATTACAGACATGGTATAACAAACAAAAGGATTCATGGTGGAGCATCTAAGAACGTGGGGCAAGAAAAATTAAGATGACTTACCCTAAATGTCCTATATAAGTACAAAAACTCCCAGCAATGACTATTTCAAAGCCCAGAAACTCATATTCCTGCCTGTGTTCAGACATATTTTTAGAAATTTTCTGCTCCCTACAGCAAATACACAATTGTGCCAGTAGGGTTTATGTTTCGGAAAAGCTTATTGATGAGTCCACAGTACCCAGCCATGGCTTAGAAACGGGGGGAAAGGGAGGGAATGGGATGCAGTAATTTTGCTCTAGAACATGATCACAAAATCCAACCGATCAACAAATAAACCAAAAACTGGGCCCTTGACTATTCCAAATTCTACCCTCCCTCTGGGTCCCATACACCCAGGTAGCTTGGAAAGAAAAGAAAGTATTGTTACTCAAGACTGGCACATGTTTCTGCCGCCAACTCCACTAACCTTGTGCCGTGGGGAATTGAAACGAAGCCTCAGTGTCCTCATGAGCCAAAGCCACGCGGGACCCTCCGCCTCCGAATGTGCCCTGATGGCGAGCCTGAAGGCCTCCCTGCCTCCACACGCTTTCCTTTGCCCCCAGAGCCTCCTCGCTTCTGGGCACTGCTGCTCTGCAGGGTGGCTTTCTCTAGATCTGTCCCCTCTAAGACGCTCAAACTATTACATGGCATCTCTACAGCTGCTCCAACCCAGCCGGTCCTACTGCCCTCCCCCATCACACACACACACACACACACACACACACACACACACTCACACAGAGTCAGCGTCCGTGAGTGACAAATAATGGTACTACTGCTCCTCTCCCTCTGCCAACAAGAAGCTAATTGCCTTAAAGATGGAAAGCTGAGCAAAGCCAGATCAGGAGATATTTATCCTATAGTTCTTCTGGTTTTGGCACCAAGAAAGTTTAGATCAGCCCCTTTTTTGATGACCGAAGCGAAAAAGAAAAAACTCAATTCTCATTGGCCATGTTTTCAGCCATGAGAAGAAAGCTTATCTGCAGTGAAAGAGAGAAGGAGAAAAATGTTAAGTTTCAGAATGCAGAAGAAAAGAGAGGAGAGCATCCTGACAGTGGTCATTGGTGTATCCCTGTTGATTAGGCTGAATCCTTGACCTTTCTGAGGATCTGGCTGCTTTAATCTAGCTTAGATTCTGTGAGACAACCCAAGATCTTTCTAGGAAAACCAAAATTTTAGTCAGGGTAGCTTGAGTGGGACTCTCACATTTCCAACTAACAACCTTAACTTTTTTATAAAACCACATCCTATAAATACAAACAGAAATGGGAACACATTTTTCCTTATAATTTTATACTTTAAATATTTTTAAAACTCTAAGATTTCCAGGCTACCCTGGGCACGTAGGGAGAGAGATCTTATGGCAAACTGTAAGAACAACCTGGTTACTTTGAACACATGCAAAAAGCCTCACACAGACCTCGTGGGGTCTGCGTGTGTGTGTGTGTGAGTGTGTGTGAGTGTGTGTGCATGCATGCGCGCACGCTCAGTCGTGCCTCACTCTTTGCAACCCCATGGACTATAGCCCATCAGACTCCTCTGTCCATGGAATTTTCCAGGCAAGAATACTGGAGTGGGTTGCCATTTCCTTCTCCCAGGGATCTTCCCCACCCAGGGATCAAACCCACATCTCCTATGCTGGCAGGAGGTTCTTTACTCCTGTACCACATGGGAATCCCCACAGACTTTGTATTGCAGCATTCATAAACTCAATTTACCAACAAATATTTAGGCTAGAAATTCATTTGCTTATGGTCACTCAAAACTGATGTATTTCTGAGAGAGAAAGGAAAAAATCTAATATTCCTAGAACAAGCAAGAAAATGAATGAATACTTACAGGGCTGCCTTTGAGCTTGGTTCAATTTTGGTTCAACACACACTGTGATTAGAAAAACCCATTTGTAAAGTAGACATGCAAAATAAAAGAAGTATAACCCCAATTTGCTTATTTAAAAAGGGCAGTTTTAGTAGTGTAATCTCCTTGTTCTTTAATCAGTTCATTTTAACTGGTGTTTTGTTTCTTTTTGTCTCTACTTGGCATACACTGAGCACTTAAGACGTGAACCCAGAAAGAGGTCAATGCGGAACTACAGATGTGAAAAGAACTCATTAAATGTGAGGACAGTTACAATCTTAGGTGTAAGGTGGTGAATTCAAATTGCTTAGAGATAATCATTCTGAGTAGCTACCTTCTAAAATCCTAATGATATTTCATATACAGCTGAATCCGATGGATGTGCCTTCCTGTAGGGTACGATGTTTAACGCAGCTTTCAGCATAAACACAACTGTTGATGTCATACTCTTTGGAAGCCCAAAGAAGCATCAAGATGTGTGCCAGTAAAGACTTGGAGGACAAGACAGATGCATCAGAAGCTGTGTGCCTCTTTATAGGAGAATGTTGTACATAATATGAAGGGGATTGAATGAAAGAGTTGATGGAAAGGCAGAAGTGAGTTAGAAATATAAGAAGGAAAAAACAATATATCAGGGACAAAAGTTATATATGAGTTTTATATAAGAATGTATATTTTCCACCCAAATCAAAACTTCTTCCAAAAGAGAAAGATCATTGCTGGTTGGGGCTGGAAGCAAGGCAGGTAAGAGATAAAGTTGGAGGACGAGTCCCTCCATGATGGCCCGTGGACTTCACTGACGGTCCCATCCAGCCTCCAGTGGTATATGGTTCTGGCTTCACGGTCGTTTGGTAGCGTGCTTCCTTGTTCACAGCGAGAAATGAAGGGGGAAAAATTTCTCCTTAAAGATGCATAGCAGGGGAAATCCTTAAATAAACTGCTTCAAATAAGAGTGCATTTTACAGAATATTGAGAGATTGATCTACTTGAAGACTAGAGTCCCATTTCAAGCATCCTGGCAAGCATATTTTCTGCAAAACACACTTTCTCCCCATTGGCATTGTGAAGAAGAAAGGTCCCCTGCCATTTTCCTTGAGAAAGATCAAAGTGATTCTCTCCCTAACTTAGCTTTCCCTGAGGCCAGGCACTGCTTTCTAGCTGGAGCAGGTCACACCTCAGGGAAAGCATTAGGAAAGCAATGGGATTCAACATAGTTTTGGAAAAAGCAGTCAGTGTGTTTGCAATTTAGAAAGTTTCACAGAATCAATATGAATTATTGGGTTCCCTTAAATAAAAATCAGATTACTGAGAATAGTCATAGCAAATATCTTTATTTTTAATGCCAAATTTATATTTTGAGTTTTGTCTTCTCTTGCGAATTCCAGATCCATAAATCCAGCTGTTTGCTTCATAATTCCACTTGAGTGTCCATCAGATGTTTCCAACTGCATGTCCAAACCTGAATTTCTGATCGCTTACCTTGACTCCTGACCCCAACTTCACTACTCATATTCTTCACTATCTGAGGAGGGCAACTCCACACTTACCACTGTTCAGACTTCAACACTTGCAAGCCTCCCCCTTCCTTCCTTCATAGCCCACATCTCAGGGACAAGCAAGCATCTCTGATTCTGCTTTAAGACTCCATCCTGCATCTGACTACGTCTCATCACCTTCTGCCACCACTCTGGTCTGAGTCAACAGCATCTCTTCCCTGAATATCTGTGTTTATTAGCCAACTGGTCTACCAGCTCCATCTCTTTCTCTCTCTCTCTCTCTCTCTCTCTCTGATCCAATCAGCACATTCCCAATACAAGAGCAAGAGAGACCATGTTAACA